CTCTCTCTCTCTCTCTCTCTCTCTCTCTCTCTCTCTCTCTCTCTCTCTCTCTCTCTCTCTCTCTCTCGTGTTAGCTCTTAGTCTCATTGATGTGGCTACCTTAGGGCTGCGTTCCCCGCGCCCGCGCGCGCGCCCGCGCGGTAGACAATTTCAACCACTGCCCAGCCCTGACCACTGCCCAAGCTTGAGCACTTTCGTTGGACGGAAGTGTTGTTTCAACCACTGCCCAAGCCTGCACACTTTCGTTGGACTTTTCAGCCCCGTCCCCGGCCCCGTGCTCCCTTTCCATTTGCCCCTGCTTTGCCACTGTTTCGATTTCAATCAAAACCCGTTCCGACCAAAACCCAAAGCGCGGTCCCACGGGCAGCTACCGGTCCCTCATTTTTCAAACGAACTGCCACCACCCCTGAAAGTGCCATACCTGCACCTTCCTGCATTTTTCGAGCCTTCCAACGACCAAATGAACGATCGGTATTCGCAACCCTTAGGCTGCGGTATAGTTGGCTTCCGCGTCTGTGTCAAGGTGTCACATTTTTGGCGGTGGGCGACCAGGATGCAAAGTGGGTTCTTAGGGGGCAAAAAAAATTGGGGGACCGATCCTTGCCAAAATTGCGGACTACCTACAGCTAGCTCTGGTAGAACCAGGACTTTTGGAAAAACGAAGGACCGGTCCTCGGGTGGAAGTGGACCCCAAAAAGAAGTTGGGGGCGTTGGACCGGTCCCCGGGTAGAAGCGGACCCCAAAAAGAAGTGAGGGCATGTGAACTGCAAAAGGGCCCTCAGGCCCAGGCATTGAGCCCCGTTTTCTCAAAACAGGGAGGTCAGGCGCAACGAAACAGGCGTTTTGCAAGAGGCAACTTTGACGATTTTCTGTGCTCGAAGGAACCTGCAAAAAAATCTGAAATTTTGAGAATTCACAGAAGGCAGGATGGCAGGATGGCAGGATGGCAGGATTGCAGGATGGCAGGATGGCAGGATTGCAGGACGACAGGGTGGCAGGAAGGGAGGATGGGAGGACGGCAGTAAGGGAGAATGGGAGGATGGGAGGATGGCAGGATGGCAGGATGGAAAGGTGGGAGGCTGGCAGGATGGGAGGATGGGAGGCTGGCAGGATGGGAGGATGGGAGGCTGGCAGGATGGCAGGATGGCAGGATGGCAGGGTGTCGCGTCGAAGCCCCGCCATCGGATGGTAGGATGGGAGGATGGGAGGAAGGGAGGATGGTCGGATGGTCCAGTGGTGGGATGGCAGGATGGGAGGATGGCAGGATGGCGGAATGGCAAGATCGGAGGATGGTAGGGCAGCAGGATGGGAGGATGGGGGGATGGGAGGATGGCAGGAAGGAAGGATGGCAGGATGGGAGGATTGCAGGATGGCAGGATGGCAGGATGGCAGGATGGGTGGATGGGAGGATGGGAGGACGGGAGGGTGGTGGGATGGGAGGATGGGAGGACGGGAGGGTGGTGGGATGGGAGGATGGTCGGATGGTCGGGTGGTGGGATGGCAGGATGGCACGACGGTCGGGTGGAGCGGTGGAGCTAGACCATTGTATGGTGGGGTGTCGCGTTGAAGTCCGACCATCGGATGGTGGGGTGTCGCGTCGAAGCCCCGCCATCCGATGGTGGGGTGTCGCGTTTAAGCCCGACCATCGGATGGCGTGGCGCAACGATGGGGTGATGGCGACATGGTCGAACGGTTGTGCGGCTGGACGTTTGAAGGTGCACGGTTCAGGTTAGGCCGGTCGAATGGCATGATGGTAGAAGGCGGGAAGGTCGAATGGTAGACGGCCCGATTGCACGACGCTCGGGTGGAGAGGTGAACGTCGACCATCGTGTGGTGGGGTGTCGCGTTGAAGCCCAACCATCGGGTGGTGGGGTGTCGCGTTGAAGCCCCGCCATCAGGTGGTAGGGTGTCGCGTCGAAGCCCGACCATCGGATGGCGTGGTGCAACGTCAAGGTGGTGACGAGATGGTCGAATGGGTGTGCGGTCGGATCATCAGATGGTCGGGCCTGGTGTCTGCGGTGCACCGTTAGACCGGCGGGTGTCGCACCAAAGTAGGAACATAACAAGGCAGGGCCTTGTGCCAAATCCGGATATGATTACCGCTTTCTTACTCCTTCCTTGCTTTCGTTTATAACGGCCTTGCAGAAACTATGCACACTCCAGCCCGCCACAGTGAGAAAGGGAGTTGTCCTCATGGCTCACAACCATCGGTGCAATGTCCGAGGTGCGACACCTCAACCAGTTTCCAGCGACGAGAGCAGATCCCCTTCACTGTGCGGGGGAAGTTGCAAGCGCAGGTCATCGGCACTATCAGTGCGAAGTCCTCGTAGAAAGCCACAACTTTCCCGTGGGTGTGGTCGCCCATCTGACAACGTAGTTCAACGATTGAACCTCGACAACATTATTAAAGAGCTTCGTCAAACCCGCGCTGCTCCGCCTTCGGACGGCCTGAACGCAAAATGCACATTGCATACCATCGACAAGTGTGATGCTGGTCGTGACGACGATGGTCATATGGATGATAAAACCCGACAAGAACCCATGTCCGGTGCACATACTGTTCCTCTTCATGGCAATAACAATACTGCCATGGAGACGGAACGCGAGTCGGTATCCTTGCTGACCGATTTGGGGTTAGAGAGAGGCAAACGACCATACACATATCGAAAGCGGAAGAGAAGGAGTGGCTCATTGAAAAAATAGATGGTTGAGAAATGTACCATGGAGGAATGTCGTGCAGTGTTAAATAAAAAGTGTTGTGCAAAATTGCAGTGTTGTTCAAAGATGACAGTAGAGGAGGTGTATAGGGCGAAAATGAGATATACATCACTGGCTCCAGAGGAGAGGCGGAAATGGTGGATAAAACAATTGGACAATTTCACGTGCATTGAAGATCGGAAGAAGGTGGTGAAACCAGTCGTAGAAAAGCATAGGGTATGCGTCCAGGCGTGGTGTTACATAATCGTTTTCTCGAGGAACACTTACTCATTCTACAAGGAATTGCATGAAGAGGGCAGGGTGTTGCCTCCTCATGGTAGGAAAGGACATTCCACAACATCCGCGACTCATGCTATGACTTTCAAAACATTCGAGACAATGATAATGGAGGAGGGTGACGCGATGCTTGACCAGACTGACATGAGCAAAGACTACGAGATAAGACCACGGGTTAGACTACCTCCAGCTTATGCAACAAAAAAAGACGTCTACGACAGCATCAAACGACGGTTGCAGAAACACGACATAGACTGCTGCTCTTTGCAAGTCTTCGGGAGTATATGGCGTGACTTCTTCTGGCATGTTCACCTTGCTAGGTCGACAGACTACGCTAAATGCAATTACTGCACCAAACAAACAGACCTGATTGAAGGGGCCAAGCCAGAAGCGAGGCGCAGTCTTGTTGCAAAACTGAATCGTCATAGACTGTTGCAAGAGGCGCACCGGAAACACTATGACATATGGTCGGCCAAATCTAGGTTCATGAGAGAAAAAAGCTTGTGCATCATAATTGATGGTATGGACCAAGCAAAAACTCTCATTCCTCACACAGCTAGGAACCGGACATCAAAGGCAATGGATAACCGCACAATGATGAAAACAAACCTCACGGGCATTCTCGTGCATGGGAGGAGCCCACACATTCTTGTGCACACATGGTTTCCTTTGTTCCCCCATGGTCCGGATTCGATTGTGTCTTCGATCGCTAAGGTGTTGAAAGACGTGCAGAGACGGTCGGGAGTGTTGCCTCCTGTTTTCAGACTCCAAGCCGACAACTGCGGTAGTCAAAACAAAAATAGGTATGTGTTCGCGTACCTAACATTATTGGTGAAGTTCCGCATTTTCGAGGTTGTTGAAATGGGATTTATGATAGTGGGTCACACGCATACGGACATCGACGCGAAGTTCGGCTTATTTGCTAGAAAACTAGCGGACACGGATGCTTACACGATGGACGAGTTATTCGTCGCACTTAAAAATTCCACAAAGGATGAGGTCAATTGCACGTTTATCAATGAGATGGCGGATTGGAAAGGTGCAGTCAAAGACTTCCTCGACGTGCGTATTGGTGGTTACTCCACTCCGCACTTGTTCAAGTTCTATATGGACGGAGACAACCCTGCGATGGTCTACAAAGAGCATTGCAATGACAGTGAATGGATGCCGGAGGGCGGAGCAATTTACTGGTTCAAGCGGGATAGATACGGGAGATGGGCGGGGCCGTCTTTTCCGTTGGAACAGTTTGCCTTGAAGTTGAACTTGGACAACGGAGACTTTGTCAAACGTCGCCAAGGTGTCAGTGCCTTGGTCGAGGAGTGGAAAGACGAGCGACCAGAATTCGAGAAACACGAAGAATGGAAACGTCAGTTGGAAATAAGTCGTCTGGACTACTGGGACAAACAGTCAGACATGTTCAATAAGCTGGAACAGGAAAAAACCTCGCAACCTGCTCCGTTGTCAACTCCGTTCTGGCCAACACGGATGACGGGAAGCGTAGAAGAGGTGAAGGTGAAACTTTCTATTGCCGATTCGCCGCCGAGGAAACCATGTTTCGTAGGTTATAAAAGTGATGCCCCGAAACCGGAGTTCGACCCGACAAAGCATATTGATATCGGTTGTTTCGTAGTGATACGCGCTCCAGACGAGAATGCGGACAAAGGAGTTAGTTTTTGAATAGGATGTGTTCAAGAGAAATCTGAGGACTCAGACAAAATTCTCGTAGAGTATTGGAGGCCAGAGGGCAAAGAGACCAATATGTGTAAGTTGTACGAAGACGTGTGGAACAAAACATGGCGCGTTGAACACGAATCTTCGCCTGGATGGCAAAACATAACATGTGTGGCATGGGGATGGAAAAACGAAAAGAAAGGTAAAACTGGATTAAAAATCAGAAAAAGTGACGCATTGAAGGCAATCAAATCACTGGCAGCAGTAGATCACGCACAATAAATGCACAGAACGACTGCTGCATCAACTGACATATATGCCATTTGTTCTTCGGAATAGTGCAATCGTTGTAACCCCGATGGAGATGGACATCGAACAAGCATGGCGTCGCCGAGCGGATAAGTGGGGGAAGGTGATTCAATATGATGACCTTATACCTTATTGGGCAAGGCAAAGGATGGCCGCTATCGACCTGCAGTCAATGGACGAATCCATGTTTTACCCGACAATGGAATTCTGGACGCCGCAGATGCAACGAAGACTTTTCAAACTGGCTAAAACATGCGAACCTGCCTCGATGTACAAGAAGGAGGACACCGGCAAATGGAAAAATGTATATTATGGTTCTGGTCGACTATGCGATTCGCGCTTTCGTGAACGAGGAACAGTTATATGTATTGCTTTCGAAGCACGTCATGGAATGACACATTGTGTGACACGCATCGATAGAAGTAGACTGTTGGCCGACGAAGAGACGGACGATGAAGAATTTTGGATATCCAGTCACGTGATGTGCGTTTGTAGTGTGATTAGAGACGCAATGCTGCTTTATACTAGCAAAAGAACATGCATTGCTGTAACAAGTGCTACAGAAGTACTTCGTTGGGTGTATACTACAGGGATAGTGTAGAAAACGAAGAAAACAAAGTTAAAAAAAAACATATGTGTGAAGCAACTCTGTCGGCGGATGAACGGGCAAATCCCATTCGATGTTGCTTGTGTTCCGCAAAGACATCCATGTCTACAAGGTGAGCAATCACATCGATTATTGCAGGCTGGTATGGTGGTAGGACACCAACTTCTTTGAATGGTGGGATGGTGGGATGATCGATTATTCGGTGAGGAATGTTGGCGGGATGGTGGGATGATCGATTGTAACATGGCAGGCTGGTATGGTGGTAGGACGCCGACTTTTTTGAATAGTGCAATGGTAGGCAAGTGATATATCAGGGTGGAAGATCGGCAGGGTGGTAGAATGGGAGGATGGCTGAAAGGTATGATGGCCGGTTCGCTGAATGGTACGATGGTAAGATCCCAGTGCGACAGGGTGCAAGGTCGCGACATAGGAGGATTGTCTGTCACCGTGGAACGCTCGACTATCGGACGGCAGGGCGTTATGCCGAAGCTTGACCATCACATGATAGGATGGTGTAATGTTAGTGGTGTGTGGATGTGGAACTTATAGGATCGTTCATTGTGACGTCGGCGGGACGGTAGGCAGGCAGGTTGGTAGATTGCTCCGATGGTGGGCTGATAGGGCGACAGGCTATGGATTGTCATAATGGTTAAGGTCGACTATTAGTTGATAGGGGTCATGTCGAAGCGCGACTGTCAGATGGTCGGGCATCGTGGCGAAGCTCGACTATCAGACAACAGGGCGTTATGCCGAAGCTCGACCATCGCATGATAGAATGGTGTAATATTAGTGGTGTGTGGATGTGGAACTTATTGGATCGTTCATTGTGACGTCGGCGGGACAGTAGGCAGGCAGGTTGGTAGATTGCTACGATGGTGGGCTGATAGGGCGACAGGCTATGGATTGCCATAATGGTTAAGGTCGACTATCAGTTGATAGGGGGTCATGTCGAAGCGCGACTGTCAAATGGTCGGGCGTCGTGGCAAAGCTCGACTATCAAATGGTAGGGTGTCATGGCGAAGCTCGACTATCAGATGGTCGGGCGTCATGGCGAAGCTTGACTATCAGATGGTAGGGTGTCATGGCGGAGCTCGACTACCAGATGGTCGGGCGTCATGGCGAAGCTTGGCTCTCAAATGGTCGGGTGTCATTGTGAAACGCGACTATCATGGTAGGATGGGGGATGGTGTGGCAGCGGGATGGTGGGATGCCCGATTGTAGGATAGGAGGATGGCGGGATGGTCAGGCAAACCCGAAGAACTTATGCAGGTCGGCAATCACTGTAATGACGACGCTCGACTACAACATGGCGGGATGGTAAAGAAAACCTAGACAAGTGCATCATGGTGAAGCTCGACTACCAGATAGTCGGGCGTCATGGCGAAACTTGGCTCTCACATGGTCGGGTGTCATGGCGAAACGCGACTATCAGATGGTAGGATGGGGGATGATGTGGCAGTGAGATGGTGGGATGCCCGATTGCAGGATAGGAGGATGGTAGGATGGTCAGGCAAACCCAAAGAACTTATGCAGGCCGCCAATCAATATAAAGACGACGCTCGATTATAAGATGGCGGGATGGTAGAGAAAACCTAGACAAGTGCTACATAACGGCCATTTGTGCAAGGGGAACGCTCGATCATAGGATCGTGGATCGTGACAAAACTCGGTCATAAGATAGTGGGATAATAGGACGGCATGATAGTGTGTTGGTGGGATGGTCGGTTGTAGGACTACGGGATGGTGTTTCACTACACTGGAGGGATTCACATAGAGTCCCGTGGATTTGGCAAACCTATCAAAGTTTCGTGCCAGGTGTATTGCTGATTATGACATTGTCGTTAAAGGGATCAAGGGAAGAGTCATAATGGGTTCCTATTTTGAATGTAGAGAAGACGAAACACGTGTAACGGTTATGTTACCATGTATTCATTTGTATGAGTATTTGTGATGTGAGTTGGCCTCTTAGTCATAACCGTGTGTGTGTGTGTGTTTGTGGGGGGTGGGTAGGTCCTATATCAAAGGCTGTCAATTTAAAGTTTGCGAAATGTTAAAGATGCATATCGCAGTGACTGAATGTGCATGGTAGTGACAACATGTGAAATATATGCTACATTATTTCCGTCGTGCTTATTCTCGTATTGCAGGATGAATGTCGACCACAATGCATCGCACGATAACGCACCATCAACTGGCACTTCATCACAAGACAACAATTCAAATACACCGGCCTTGGATCTCATAATATTCGACAAAAAATATAAAAACATGATATCGTCAGCATAGACTCTCGATATTTGCACCTTGTTCGAAATGTGGCGCCGCGGTGAAATCCCCATGTCTTGGGTCATGGGAGGGAACGAGATACAGATTCATCACGACGACGGCAAAGACTTCTGGTACTTGTACTCGTTGGAGCAAGAAGCCGATGTGGAGCCCGACGTCGAGGACAGTACTGAAGACCCTGTTACACCAATGAAGATGATTGACGCGTGGAAAATATTGTGTGTAAAGCAGCAATGGTCAGAGCGGGACAGGAAACACGCCAAACAATGTGCTTGGTTTTGCATTGAAAAACCGCACCTGCCGTTCCCGATCTTTGTAGATTTCTGGTCGAATCCGGGTGTTGAATCGTAACACCACCATTGTGACACTTTTCACAGCCGCCAAGGTGAACGATAAAAAAATCAATACGTTCTTCCTTGCTAGAGAGGAGTTTCACAATATCACACTTACATCTCAGGAAGCATTCAACGACCCTACACTCGTTGGATCGCTTGGGCGCTTCAAAACTCGAATATCCCATGATCATGCTCTAAGGAAAGAACTCGACATGAGGATAGAATGCTTAGTGCACAGCCAGGTTCATTATCTGTTTGACAATTATGATGAGATATCATGGACCGTCGAACATCGAGATGACACGTTGGACGTTCTTTTCAATCGAAAAAAGTACAGACGTGGGGGGAAGAAAGCAGTGACATTTTCTACTGGTTGGAATAGAGACGTGTACGACTGTCCTTACTATGGCAACGGACACATTCGTCTTTAGCATAGTTTAAGAGTACAAAGTTTTGTACCTCGTAAACCATGAAGTCTGAAACGAGGCTGGATTTTATAAATTCATTAGCATATAAAATAAACATTCACCGCGCACAAAGGCGTATAATAGAAGAACACGCGGGCTGACAAGATCGGAGGACGGTCGGGCGACAGGATGGCAAGATGGCAGGGTTGCAGGATGGCAGGATGGCACGACAGACGGGTGGAGCGGTGAAGCTCGACCATCGTATGGTGGAGTGTCGCGTCGAAGCCCGACCATCGGATGGTGGGGTGTCGCGTTGAAGCCCCCCCATCGGATAGTAGGGTGTCGCGTTGAAGCCCGACCATTGGATGGAGAGGCGCGACCATAAGGTGATGTTTGGATGGCAGGACTGCGGGATGGTGGGGCGCTCGGATGACAGGACGACATGATGGTAGGGCACTCAGATGGCAGGACGGTGGGGTGGTCGGATGGTATGATGGTCGGTTGGTCCGGTGGCGGGCAGGCAGGAAGGTTGGATGGTTGGGTGTTCGAATGACAGGACTGCAGGATGGTCGGGCGCTCGGATGGCAGGACGGTGGGGTGGTCGGGTGGTGGGATGCGAGGATTGGAGGATGGGAAGATGGCAGAATGGCGGAATGGCAAGATGGGAGGATGGTCGGGCGGCAGGATGGCAGGATGGCAAGGTTGCAGGATGGAAGGATGGCAGAACGGTCGGATCGAGCGGTGAAGCTCGACCATCGTATGGTGGGGTGTCGCGTTGAAACCCGACCATCGGATAGTGGGGTGCCTTGTTGAAGCCCCCCATCGAATGGTAGGATGTCGCGTCGAAGCCCGACCATCGGATGGTGCGGTGCAACGACAGGGTGATGGCGAGATGGTCGAATGGGTGTACGGTCGAACGTTTGAAGGTACAGGGTTCAGGTTAGGCTGGGCGGATGGCACAATGGTTGGACAGTCCAATGGTCGGACGGTCGGATTGTGAAATTGCTGGAAGGCGGGATGATCGGACTGTAGAATTGCTGAAAGGCGGGATGGTCAGATTGTGAAATTGCTGGAAGGCAGGATGGTCGGATTGTGAAATTGTTGGAAGGCGGGATGGTCGGATGGCAGGATGGCAGGATGGCAGGGTTGCAGGATGACAGGATGGCAGGACGGTCGGGTCGAGCTGTGAAGCTCGAACATCGTATGGTGGGGTGTCAAGCAAAGTCCGATCATCGGATGGTGGGGTTTCGCGTTGAAGCCCCGCCATCAGATGGTAGGGTGCCGCGTTGAAGCCCGACCATCGGATGTCGTGGTGCAACGATAGGGTGATGACGAGATGGTTGAATGGGTGTACGGTCGGATGTTTGAAGGTTCACGTGGTAGGTGACTAAGTGTGGGTAGGTGGGGGCAGCAATCCCACGATTGCGGTTGAAGCAATATACGCAGTGATCAAGTGTTAAGACCTCAACAAAATAACATACACCAAACTTCATTTGTAATAAAGTTAAGATGCATGTGTTCGCGAATAAAACTAAGTGTGTTTGTGTGTGTGTTTGTGTGTATGTGCATCCGTGTGTGTGTGTGTGTGTGTGTGTGTGTGTGTGTCTGTGTGTGTGAGTCAGACTGCAATTGTACAAGAAACCTATGTATCGACAGAATGCGAGACAATTACAACATATATTGATCAGAAGCAATGCGTGTATACATAGAGCGAATAAAAAACAAGTGTGTTTATATGTGTACAATACTCGAAAACATACCAATTAACTAAATAAATTTGTTTGGTAGAAACAAAGCTACTCGTCAGATGACGAATCAATGACAATTCAGTCGTAAAGAGAAGTAAAACACACAAGTAACACACAAAACATGAACAGACAAGTGCTAATGCCTGAAAAATATATGTTACACTGCACATGACAATGAAATAGCGAATGCACATAATACACAAGCTAGGAAGAAAAAACATAGAAATAATGAATAAAATGAGCTACTGTCGCAAAAAAAAAAGGGAAAAGTACATAATGGCAAAAAAAAAAAAAGAATGAAGTGCTCCGTACACGTGAAATGGATATGTGCACGAAAAAAAAAAGCAAAAAAACATCAAATAATAACAACAAGTACACGGCACAAAAACGGCAGACACAAGCAAAGTTGCAAAAAAGTGGCTGATTTCGAAGTTAAACTAATGGCCAAGTCACTAAAAAAGAGCAAACTGAAAAGAATCAAACAAAACGGACATAAAATTTGCACATGTGTAGCATAGTACCATAGGATCAAATATGTCACATGTTTGTGAAAAATGCCTTGTTTTGGAAAAAAAAAAGGGACTTCAATTTCGTGTTTTTAGAAAAAAATGTCAGTTTTAACGAAATGTCAGTTTGAGGTCGTGTTCTTTTTAGAAAAAATATTAGAATATTTTTTTTAAAAATTATTTAGACCGAAAAATCATCGTCGCGCTAATTCGACACATTTTCCATTTTTGTCACTCAACCATGTGTGGGCCAACTTAAAAAGTACTCCAAATTCAGTGAGTTTTCACTCTAAAAAAAATAAGTGAAAAAACCTGAAAATTTGAGTACTTGTAGATTTTGTTGTGATATTTCCAGGAAAAATGCTAAATAACTTTTAAAAATCATTCCAACTATGAAATAGACCGCGACCTCAATTGGACCCATATTTCAATTTTGTCATTCAACCTCTCTCTCTCTCTCTCTGTCTCTCTCTCTGGTAGGCCCCCGCATCTCTCTCTCTCTCTCTCTCTCTCTCACTCGTATCAACAAATGGAACAAAACTCTCTCTCTCTCTCTCTCTCTCTCTCTCTCTCTCTCTCTCTCTCTCTCTCTCTCTTTTGTGCACGCTCTTAGTCCCATTGATTTGACTACCTCAGGGCTGCGTTCCCCGCGCCCACGCGGTAGACAATAATGAAGGACGACGAAAAAATGTCTCCATGTTTGCAGCCCTAAGGCTGCGGTATAGTGGGCTTCGGCGTCTGCATCAAGGTGTCCCATTTTTGGCGGCGGGCGACCAGGACACTAAGTGAGTTCTCAGGGGGCGAAAACAATTAGGGGACAGGTCCTTGGCAAAATTGCGGACTGCCTACAACTAGCTCTGGTAGAACCGAGACTTTTGAAAAAAGGAAGGACCGGTCGTCGAGTGGAAGTTGACCCCAAAACGAAGTGGGGGGCATTGGACCGGTAGAAGCAGACCCCAAAAAGAAGTGAGGGCATATGAACTGCAAAAGGGCCCTCAGGCCCAGGCGCTGAGGTCCGTCTTCTCAAAACAGGGAGCTCAGTTGGTACTGTGGCGATTGTGGAGCTCGTTTTCACCAACTTGAAATGGGAAGGTCAACAAATATGCGCAAACGGGCACACAGTATACATGCATACACGTACACACATACAGACATACAGAACACAAACTTGCTAGTCGGAGGCATCGCCAACTTGAAACAGGAAGATCAACGACGGGAAGATGCGTGAACGGATACACAAACACACATGCACATTCGTACACACGTACAGATACACAGAACATGGACTTGCTAGTAGGAGGCGTCGCCAACTTCAAACGGGAAGGTCAACGACGGAAAGACGCAGGGTCTCTGTATGTGTGTGTGTGTGTCCCTCCCTCTCTCTCTCTCTCTCTCTCTCTCTCTCTCTCTCTCTCTCTCTCTCTC